CATTCCTGCATTCTTCACATTGCGCTCATGGACAAAAGCGGTGTACTGTCCCTCCGCAGCGCGGGTCCTCGGCGGGGCCCACGCATCCCACGGGCTTCCACCACGTTGGCAGCGGTCGGCAGCGTCAAAGGGCCTGGATCATTGGGGAGCGGGAGGGGGCACAATTAGTAAACATGTATGGATGAGAAAGAGGGTGGAAAAGTAAAGCAAAGGTAAAGACAAGAAGATTGATGGGAAAAGGCAAAGAAAAAGGGCATTGCTGGAAGGTAAATACTGAACAAGAGAGGCATGCAAGTATATGTGTACATGACGACACTGTCAAATAAACGCCCTTTCTGCTCAGTATCATGCACATTTTTGCAGAAGTCTGAAATGACAAGTTAAGCTATCTCATGTATACATTGTCTACACTTACCAAATGAAAAAGTACTTTGTATTTCAAAGTACTTCACAAAACTGAGCAAGAACTCTACGTGTTTTACAGATGGGAGAAAATAATCTGACAGAGGAACAGACCTCCCAAGTATACAGCGCATTTTATTTGCAGGAAGCCGAAAGGGTTTAAGTGGCAGCTCTAAATGTACACCTGAAAGAAGCATCTATAAGCAACACCAGTTTTCAAAGTCAGTGGAAAATGTAGAGTCTAATGCAAGTTAAAAAAAAGGAGAAGAAAATAGAAACTCAGAAAAATGAGCATTACTGTGCTGGAGCAACAGTAGAGCACACACAAATCATTCACAATTTAGATGACTAAGGGACTAAATACTACTGAAGAAGCTGACTGTAGCTGTACTTGATAAACATAAAAAAAAACTTAGTTGTAAAAATAGAATCATTTTAAAAAAGGTCACAACATAAACTAAGACCTTGCTTTCTACTTTTGAATATGAAGGCATAATGGTTCATAAATTTTAAATTTTGAATTCCTAAAAATCAAAACCACAGAAATGCTGTGCATAGTTATGGCTACTCTATACCACAGTTAGAATAAAACTGTAAGTCCTCCAAAAGCTAGGAAGAGGAGTGGGGAGAACACACATTACTTTAAGCAGTGTTTTGAAAAATCTTTTATGCAGAACCCCTTAGCTAGAAAACTGTAAGGCTTTAGGCACAAGTATCTCCAAAGCAGCATGGATAAGCAATTTACTGAAACAGTTGAATTTTAAAAGACTTGAAAAAAATGGACAATGATCTGTCAACTGTTTTCTGTGTTGTACTAGGATCCTTCACTGCTATGTTTTAGGAGAGGCTGATGCAAGTTACAATCAGGGATCAAAAAAGTGCTTGGAAAAAAGCACTCTCATAAACTACTCAAGCAAGGAAATTCCCAAAACAAACTTGCTCCTTCAGTTTAATGTAAAATTCTCTAATAACACAAATCTAAACATAGCAGAAACATTGTTGCTATTCATTTAGAGGGGTCCTGGACAGCCCCCAGCTCAAATTCCACTTTCTCATGTTCCAAAAAGTCTGGCTTAACACTTCCAGTCCTCCCAGAACAGCCAAGCAGCCAGTGTATGAGTTGGAAGATCATATGTGTTAAGGCAGGGAAGCAGAAAAGCATGCAGGATTCACAACAGCGGTAAATGATTAACACAGGGATAGTTCTCCTTTAGAAAAGAGAAAGGATTTATATAAAGGTCACCCATGGGTAAATTCAGAGTTTTGTTTTTTGTGAAATATGCTGAGAGAGCGACCCATGAATACTGAAGGCTCCAATCCTCAACAGTTCATTACATTATTTTCCCATTTCTCTCATTTAAGTGGTTAAGTAAACGCTATATCTACTACCAAGCAAAAAAAAAAAAAATCCCCTACTTATTCCACAATAAGGAAAAAATTATTAAACCTATTAAATACTCTCTTAGCACAGAAACAGCTTCTTGAGAAAAGAGTAAAGCTAGAAAGACACTGATTGGGTTTAGGTTTCCCAGCCTTGCAGCTAATATTCCAGACTCTTTTCAGACCATGCAGACCAGTACAGTTTTCCTGTACTGACAATTTTACAGGAATGGAGCAAAGAAAAAAAAATAAAAACACTAAAATCCTTCCTATCTGGCAAAGTACTTTCTACAACCTGGCACAATTGCTGTTGGCAGCTGCAGCATTAACATTTTAAATTAGAGGAAACATTGACATTAGGAAGGGATCTAAGCTGCAAGGTAGCCAACACAGCCACCTGCCAAGCAGAGAACAGAAACTCACTAGGTCAGGACCTTATTTCTAAACCCCTTCAATCTAACCATTTACAAAATCCCCAGTCCAAAAGATTTTGGCATTCTAAACAATCCTTGGCAAACTCTCTCTAAAAGATGACTGTTTTTGACAGAAAGCAAAGATAATTCATGCAGAAACAGGCCAATTAAAGACAGCAGCAGTTGAAAAGAGAACTTGTTAGCAGCATTGAGACACCAAGACTTGAAGGCGCAACAGCCAAGTCACAGCCCCCGCAATAAATAGCTATGTTTTGGCAATTATATTAACCTAACCCCACTTCCCATCTAGAAAACCAGAATGTAGCTCAATTGCTGACTCAGCTCCAAACTGTTATCTTCTTCCTACAGCTGGATTTGTCCTTTATTACAGGCCCTACTGTTTCCAGTGAACACATTAAAACCTCTTTGCCAGAAGACAATTGCCTTCAATAATAATGACGTGTCTCTAAGAAATATAGGCAGTACAAGCGCTAAAATGCATCAGTTGCCAAGAAGCTTGTTTCCTTTATGGCATGCTGGTTTGGGTTACATGCAGGTATATTTTACATACACTCCCAGTCTTCTATAGAAAGCCTATATACTGCAGCAGCTGGCACGTAAGCTTAGATTCCTTGACAATGTTAAGACAGGCTCAAGTTCTTAATCCTAAAACAGGCGTACCAAGACTAAAACTGAAACAGATTGGCTAGTCTTCTCTGCTTCTGAACAAGAGCAGCGGGACTTCCAACAAGCAACAGAAGCCTTGCAAATACCAGCAAGAAGGCTAGCACAAATCAAGATACCCAAGA